TTGTATGATGTCACCTTGTATACTTAATCCTGAATCGGACCCCACATCATTAAACAAACAAACAAGCAAAACAAAAACAAAGTCAGGTAAAGGCCAGATTTTAAGATTTCTTGCATGCTGGGTTAAAAGTTGGACTTAGTCATTGCATCACAGTGGTAGATATGTATATTTTACAAGCTGTAAAGTGTTTTTATATGCTTTAGTATTCTGTGTTAAATGTTTTTAAAAAGAAATTATCTCCCAATATAAAGATAACACCAAAGTTGGAAAAACTAAATGACCCTCTAGGGTTACAGAGCAAATTTCTTCTTTTTCTGTCCCTATTGTGCTTTTTAGTTGTTTATTCACATCAACAATATAGCATTTATCATAACGCGTTATAATTGCTCACCTTTTTTCTCTAACACACTTATTTCTGTATGGAGAAAGCAGCTACTAGGAAATTCTACATGACTTCACATAATTGATTTAATAATTGATTAAAAAAAAAAACAGCCAAGTATGATGGCTAGAGAATGGCCTTATATTAAAACCTTGGTAGGACTCCTAGTTCCACTGTTAGTTTAACTTTATCAAATTGTTTACCTTTGCCAAACCTAAGTGTCCTTACCTTCAATATGTGGATAATGCTTACCTCATAGAGTTGTTCAGAGGAGTAAATGAGAAAATGTGTAAAAATGCCCAGCATAGGGTCTGACTCATGATAAGCATTTAGTTAATGAATATTTTATGTTGTTGTTGAAAATAATATTAATGTAATAACTTTGAATTAATAGCTAAATCCTCTTCCTTTTATTTTATTTTTTCTTAATTTATTTCAGCCATTGCACACTACCCCAGATTTCATGATGGTAGATATTGTCCATTTGCTTCCAGAAACAGGATTCCCCTTAGCATTTCTTTTAGGGCTAGTCCAGTGGTGATGAATTTCCTCAGTTTTTGCTTGTTTGGAAAGGACTTTATTTCTCCTTCATTTTTTGAAGGATAACTATATTGGGTATAGTGTTCAGGTCTCCCATCACACACACTTTGAATTTATCCTCCCATTCATTCCTGGACCTTAAGGTTTATGGTGACAAATCTGCTGTTACTCTAATGAGGGTTCCCTTTGATGTGATTAGATGCTTTCCTCTTGCTGGTTTTGAATTTTCTCTTTGTCTTTGACTTTTGACAGTTTGCCTATAATGTGCCTTGGAGGAGACCTTTTTGGTTTATAATTGTATTAGAATTTCTGAACTTCCTGTATCTGGATATCTAAATTTCTTGCTTGGGAATTTTTCAACTGTGATTTTGTTAAATAGGTTATCTAGTCTCTGCCATTTTTTCGTCTGCTGTAACACCCAAAATTTGAACATTTAGTCACTTTATGGTGTCTCATTTGTCATGTAGGCTTTCTTCATTCTTTTGTCTTTATTTTTGTCTGACTATGTGATTTCAAAAGACCTGTCTTCAGAGTCTGAAATTCTTATTTCTACTTGACCCAGTCTATTGTTGAAGTTCTCTTTTGTATTATTTTGTTTTATTCATTGAATTCTTCAGTTTCAGGATTTCTGGTTTTTTTTTTTTTTTTTAAATAGTATCTATTTCTTTGATGAATTGCTTATTTATACTGTTTTGTCTTTCTGGTTTCTTTGTATTGTTTATCTTTGCTCTCTTGTATCTCACTGTGCTTCTATAATATTATTTTGAATTCTTTTTTCAGGCATTTCATAAATTTCTTATTCATTGGAATCTGTTGTCGGAGAATTATCATGCTCCTTTGGAGGTGTCACATTTTCTACTTTTTTATGTTTCTTGTGTTCTTACTTTGATGTCTGTGTATCTGGTGTAACAGTATCTTCTTCCTTTTTTTGGATTGGCTTTAGTAGGAAAAGACTTTTTCCTGCAGATGTATATATAGTATTAGTTGGGTCGGGCATTTTAGTTTTGGTTCTGGGTATGTGCAGTAGTGTAGTGTTCATATACTTTCTTCAACTATAAACAGTGTCAGTGTCTATGATTTCTTCTGTGGCTTAGGCTTCAGTTGTTAGTGGAGGCTATAGTAAAGCCTTGCTGGGGACAAAGAGGCCAGGTAGGCCAGTCTTTGGGTCCAAGTGGTGGCAGTGGTGGGTTGAGCATTCTTGTCCTTGGGCACCCAGCAGTGTACATTGGCACCAGTGTTAGTGAGTCCAGGAAGACCAATTCTTGAGCCTTTGGGTGACTTGCTGGCATTGGCAGCAGTGGGCTGAGTGGGTTGGTGGGTCCTCAGGTGCCTTGACAGAATGTGTGGTGTCAGCAATGACAGTAGTAGTGATGGGACAACCCTTGGGATCCCAGGCAGTGGTGGCTGCGTGGGCCAGTCCCCAGGTCCCCAAGTGGCACATGTGGGTGGGTGACAGTGGTGGTGGTGGCAGCAGGCTAGGTGGGTCCATCCTCAGGACCCTAGTGAAAGTATACAAATAGATGTCAGTTGTGGTAAATAAGGTAAGGACAATTCTTAGGCCTCCACATGGTGTGCTTGGGTGTTGGTAGCAGGTGTTCTGGACCTGTTGTTAGGCCCCTTGGTGGTGCATATGTGCACCTGAGGTGACTGACAGGGCCAAATGTCCCTAATTTGAGCAATGTGATTGGAAGCAAAAAGCCTACCATTTCCCTAGAGGTAGGATGGCTTTGTCTTACAGCTAAATATTCACATTCCTCCCTACCTACACCATATGGCTTTTTGTACATAAGGGATTGGGAAGGTCACAGAGTAAGAGTCAGTTGAATAATTAAAAATAAAAAGGGACGTTACAAGGGTCACTTTACCTAAAGTGATATAATTCATATGTGCCTAAGGAGTAGACAGTCTATCATAACTTAGTGAGCTAAAAAACACTAAGAGAATACGAATATTAAGAATTAACATTTACTGACTCTTAAACATATGCTAGGAAATAGCCTAGACGAGGAAAGAATAAGCTGCTCAAGCTTTGACTTACAGAGGACTTTTTCTGATTTCAGCACTTTCATGTTGCATTCTTGGAGCACAATTTGAGTATGCATTTCTAGAATTGAACTTTTTTTAAAAATTTCACCAAGCCTATAGAGTCAACAAATGTAGAATACCTCTGCTGTTGTGAATGTTTGTCTCCTCCAAAACTCAAGTTGAAATTCAATTGCCATTGTAACAGTGTTAAGAGGTGAGAGCTTTAAGAAGTGTTTAGGCCTTGGGAGCTCCACCTTCATGGGTGGGACTGGTGCCATTATAAAAGGGGTTGTCTCTCTTACTTTCAGCCATGCAATGACGTAGCAAGAGGGCCTGGCTGTATGGTGGCAACTTGGTATTTGTCTTTCTAGTCTCCAGAACTGTAAGACAACACATTACGTTCATAATAAACTACCCAGTTTCAGGTATTTTGTTATAGCAGCACAAAACTGACTAAGGCACTCTCCGTTAAGAAACTCCACTCAATACTTGGTGTATATTTATTTTGCTATCCAGAGTAGCACTATACAACTACAGCTACACAAAGGAAACACAATGTATTTGAATATTTTCTTCTTGCATTGATCTTTCTGCTATGTGTTGTTGCTATTTTCTTTCCACCATGGTTTTAATATCCTCTCAGTCAGGTGCTTCTAGGAAGTCAGACTTGATTGTCATGATCAGTTTCTTCCGTGAAAACTCAGTCTATCAAGGTACTTATCACAGACTATTGGTTGGCTTTGATATGCTTTACTAATCCTATTTTAGCTTGTTTGTGTGTTATTTTTTAAAAAACCATTTTGATCTAAAGAACCAAGTTTAATCAGAAGTCTGACATTTACAATAACACCCTTTGGGATATGTTCAATGGATCCTCGATACTTACCATGTTGATGATGATGGCAGTTTGTTAAATGATGTAAGTGTCAAACAGCTAGGCAAATATGAGTTTGGCTGAATAGGGGTGAACAAATGCAGACATAAATTTTAAGTCCACAGACACAGCTTAATTACTTTAAAAATCTGGTTCCTATGCATATTCTCCCAGTTTTAAGGCATAGTCTTAGAAAGAATATCTTATTTTGCCCCCTCAGTATATTTCCACTTCCTGTCCCAACTTCCTTTAAGTACTAATTATAAGACATAAAATAGAAATATACAGTCTAGTTAGGGACTTAAAGTTGGCAGTTTCTTGAGATTAGGAAAAAAGACAAATATATTTTCTTAACACCTCATAATATTTGGTCAGAACTAGAGCCTTTGGGGGCTTTCAGGGTCTTTGGAAGAAGCAACTAGCTGTTGGCTCCTGAGAAGATGGTAATGGAGGCTACCCTCAAGAGGGATCTTTTTCTGGTATAGAGGCAGGAGAAGATCCAATGGAAGGAGAAACTCCATTACTCTTGCTTTTGTAGAATGCTAGGGAGGCTCAAAAAATCCTTTAATGGTAACTTTAATAATCACTAATGATAGAAGCATTAAAGTAAATTCTTCCTAGCCTTTAAGCTTCTGAAGCTAGCTGCTAACCTAGTTTAGCTCTTTGCCTGGAAGCTGTCCAACTGCTGCCTCCAGCTACATGCCTTAGTTTCCCCTGTATTTCCCCAGTCCCTAATTGCCCTGCACAACTCCTTTGTCAGATTTTAAAAAAGAGAATAAGATGAAATACAATTATTTAGATAACTGATTTAATTGTATGATTCACTTATTCTTTAGAAAGGGTGCAGGTATTTTGAACACATATGGGGCTTATAATAATGTCTATAAATATTTAGTTATTGGACCTTGGCTAAGTTACATCTTATTTTAACACCCTTGTAATGGAAAAATCAGATCTAATGCATATGATTTTTAACTCACATTTTTCCAACAGCATTCCATAATTTTTTGCATTGTTTATACTGTATATATTTACATATGGTGAGGAAGCTAAATAAACTTGAAAAGTATATCTGCAGAGTAAAAATATTTAGGCATTTACATATTACAAACCTTCAAGCAATTTTAATGTAGAGATTTATACATATGCTATATAAGTAGGATATTAGAGACAGTTGAATTAGTACATAAAGTTTTTATTTAAAGTTTTCCCCTTCCAAGCAAGCTTCATTTACACATTCTAATACTGTACAAAATTTACATTCTCTGTGACTTATTTATTCACTTTTCACTTTCTAGTAGCTTGTCTCTTTCTGAAATACAGAAAGCTTTACTTATAGTTCTCATAAATGCTTTTATTTATTTTGGCTAGAAATAAAAAATAAAATGAAGACCAAGTCTAAGGAAAGAAAATGTTCTTATATAACCTGTAACTTTTGGAGGAAACAGTGACAGTTGACCACAAAAGCAGACCTTGTTCTCTTCATGACATCAGCTGGGATTTTCCCACAAAGCACTGTAACTTTTCTTTCTTTTTTTCTATATATTCCTATGTTTTCAAGGAAAAAGAAATGAAAATTGATTGCACTGGATATATATATTTATATATATATTTTTACAATGGATCCTTTGGATCTGAACATACAAATAAATACAAAAACAACGAAGATTGCACTTTACTGTAGAAACGGCATTGGATTCCAGGATACTCATTCATCTTAATGTGCTCAGCCATGAAAGCTTATCACCAAGGCATTTTAAATCTGTGACTTCCTCTTACTGTTTTGAGTAACACATTTGTTGAGGGACTCAATATCATCCCTGGGTGATTACAAAAATATTTTAGACTTTTATTTACTCCTAACAGTTTGTGTTCAAGCTTTGAAAAACTTGAAGATCGAATCCATGTTTCTGCCAGTTTTGTTCTTTTGGTTGGCCACACTGAGACTATGTCATGCTCTCCTGACCTTCTGCTCCTAAATTCTCCATGCTCCTAAAGACAACTAACAATTGCTCACTTAACTGAGTTCAGGCGTCTCTGGTGATAACAAAATATAATGAGTTGGGGAAATAATGAGAGTAAGTTAAGTGTCTAGAGTAACCTAAAGGTGAGGAAGAGGAGGAGTATTTTGTCAGGTGCTATAATTGACTCTGTGGCTCTTGTAAGGTCTGTGCTTTTTAAAGAGAGACACAATTAGAATTGCATTTAGATGAAATTATTCTTTCTTTCCATCTCTGATTTCCTGAAAGCAAACTCCTATTTTTCATTATGAATTAAGTTTGAGTCAGACATATCATCTAACAGAATCGCTAAAATATCATATGGCTAATTCATCAGTCCTACTTTTGAAGCAAATAACGTGTGTTCACTACTTTTGTACCACAGAAAATGAGAAAGCATATGTATCTGTTAACTGAATAGTGCCACAGTATATTTTGCTTTAATCTTTCAGATAAAATTGAGGACACAGAAATGATGATTCTGACTAGCCTAGAACCTATAGGGCAGAAAGCAATTACTACGAGAGCCAACATCTTTCTCTTCTCTGATCGCATGAGGTGCTGTAAGGGCAGAAGGTATATGAAATGAAGTTGTATAGAAACAAAAATATCCCTCTTTAATCTTATATGATTTTCAATAACATTGTTGCCAGTGGAGTCTGTGAAGTAGCCGAAGGTTAGAACTACAGAATCAAGTGGCAATTTCTTCAATGCAGTGTAAGTATTTTGGTAATTCAAATTTGGAATCATTCATGAACACAATATCCCCAAAACTTCAACATAGATCACATGCAGGTAGACTACAATGCACAATACTGATCTTAGGTCTCTCTGGGGCCAGTCTTCTGTATTTTATCTTCTCCTTTTGCAAGTTAAGATCCACGTAAGGAGTTTTTATAAAGCTGGGACAAGTTAAAACCAGTCTGAAATGAAGAGTCTGTCACCACAGAAAGTTTGGTGTGATCTGAGTTACAGACACAGTTATCTGTTCCAGAACAGGTCTCTTTCTTTTGTAGTTACTTATAAATCATCAGAAACCAAGGGTGGTTTTTGGCAGTTGTACCAATAGAATGCACTGTTCCTACTATAATGATGATGTCACCTGCCATTGCTTCTTAGAATGTGATACTGTTCATCCCAGGGTTTCCTGGTGTTATTTGTTGTATGGTACACAGGCGGGCAGGATAACTGTCGCACAGGCAGGGCCAGCCAATGGTTCTGCTACATCTCCTTCCAGTTCTGTCCAGGTTCCTTTCTCTGGACAATAACATATTGTGGATGACTTGTATGCCCCCTGCAATGGCAGAGCAAGGAGCATTCAGAGTAGGATGTTTAGAGAAGTTTGATGACAATGTTATTGACCACATTTACATTGAAAAGAAAATATCTATTCTCTGCACTTGCTAAAAAATTCCAAATCAAAGCAGTGAATTTTAAATTGTTTTAATCCAGGGGAAAATTTGAGACTGACAACATTTCAGAACTGTTTTTTGATGACTAATAATAATAGTCATAAAAATAATTTACAATATCCTAGAAGCTCAACAAATCCTTTCAAGCAATTGACCAAAAATTAAAGATATTCAACTGATTTAAGTTAAAAATGATCAAATTTACCTTAAACATTCAAATAATTGAAGTAGATTGGGTTTTACATTGTTGTCTCACTTCTCCATTTTTATTTTGGAACTGGGGAACGGCACAGCTCGTATTGAAAACCAGTTTAAAGTGAACTAGAAATGAAGGCTTGGCAACTTTTTCACACATTGATTTATTTATTTTCAAGATGCCACATGAGAAATAAAAAATGTCTTTAATCTTGTTTCATTTGTTAACTTTAGTGGCTGGTGCTTATGTAACATTATCCTACCCAAACCAAGAAAGCTTTGTTTTTATTGTAGGCAACAAACAAAAAGCCAACCAACCTAATAACCATTTTTCTGAAAGTGCACCATTTCTCCTGTTGTGTGCTTCCAAGCATATATATCCTCATACCAGCAAAGAAGCACATGGATGAATATCCAGTTATATATGTCAACACATGTTGGCCTCTATGTAACTAATAATATTTTAAAGCTCCCCAAAACCTTATGTCATAATCTTGCTTGATGCAAAATAAATAAAACTAACATTATTAAAAGACCAAATTAATCTTATAAAACTAACATAAATAAATAGGAAAACATAGAGATGGTCATTGTTTTAAAAGTGAAAAGGTAATCCACTAGACCTGATGCATCTCTTGATGTGATGTAATTTTAACTATGAAACCACTTTGTTCAGGTGTTCTTGCTAAAAAAGAACAACAAAATTAACAACAAAAAATAATAAAATAAAAACAGAAAAAAGAAAAATGCTGCACTTATTAAGCCCTTATCTCTAACTTCCAGTCTATAGAAAATATGCAGTTGGAGGACTATTTAAAAGACACACCACAAGGAAGTCATGAGCCAATTCCAGAAAGCAGGGGTTCTATATAACTGACTCTCTTTTGTCAAGAAGTCAATAGCATAGAACAAAAAAAAATGGGACACGGTAATGTTCTAGATTGTAAGAGATCTATGAGACATCATAGTGAAATATAAGAATAACTTACAGGATCTTGATATGAATATGTCAATCTGAAAGATATACTTTTTTTCCATGTCAATCAGGGAAATTTGAATATGAACTGGATATAAAAGAATTATTTTTAATTTTTAGAGGTGTGATAATGATAGTGTATTTACATAAGTTAATGATTTTTAAAAAGATACATACTGAAGCATTTAGGGTGAAATAATATGATGTCTGGGATTTGCTTCAAATTATTTTGGCCAGAATTTTCAAAAAGGGTAACAGATGAAGTAAGTGTGGCAAAATGTTGGTGGATGTTGGTGAGTGATGTGTTAATGTGGGCCCATTGTAATCTCAGTTTGAGTGCGTTTTTGGAAATTTTCCTGATAAAATTGGGGGGAAAAAGGAGAAAGCAATGGCAAATTCCATATCCTAGATAGAATTCGTGAATATTGGAGAATGAATTTCCAGTTTTCATGCCTTACTGGTCAGAAACTTCTCAGACTCTCTTATTCAACAGAACCAGAACATTTGTACAATCACTTGAGTCTGACTTTTAGTTGGAAAGCTAGAATCACAAAAACTGGGGATAGGGGAGAACTGGGGACCTATCACATCCTGGATGCAGTTGATCAGACAGCAAGTGAGTTGACAGCAACCTGGCTGATTCTGTGTCACTACCTGAAGTAACTGACAGCTTGCATGTAAGCATGCCACTCTTAAAAAGCGCATGTGTGGAGGAGAAAACATTTAGAAGGGAAACAAACAGAAAAAGCACAAGCAAAACATAGAAGGATGCAGTACATGTGGATACGTACCATACTCCAGCTGTAACCTCCCACAAGGTAAATGCTGTCATCAAGAACTGCACAGCCAGGGCCACTTCGACCCTCCAAAATGGGAGTTTGGAGAATATTCCACTGGTCACCTTTTGGGTCATAGCACTCCACAAGCATTACATCAAGGTGGGAGAAACCTAAGTGACACAGGAAAATGAAACCACGGAAGAATAAACTTGAGGGCCCCAACTTAAAGCGAGGCTTCTTTTAAAAACAGATCTAGAGCCAAGAAATAGATAATTGTGTCTTTGAAGATACAAATGCATAAATTCACTGGTAAAATTGGAAGACATGTCAGAAAGACCTAAGAGAAAACCCAGACAAAACCAGGCCCTGTGGCTTACATCTGTAATCCCAACACTTTGGGTGACTGAGTGGAAGAATTACTTGAAGCCAAGAATTTAAGACCAGCCTGGGCAACAGGGCAAGACCCCATCTCTACAGAATTTTTTTAAAAAATAGCCAGTATGGTGGAATGTGCCTGTAATCCTAGCTTCACAGGAGGCTGAGGCAGAAGGATCATTTGAGCCCAGGAGTTTGAGGTTGCAGAGAGTCATCATTGTGCCATTGCACTCCAATTTGAGTGACAGAGTGGGACCTTGTCTCAAAAATAAAAATAAAAACAAAAATAAAATAAAATCAATCATATAAACTCTGGTTGTTTTGAATTAATTCAAAGCAAGAATGTATGAGCAGATGTCACTAGTACAGGTTGATTATATGTGGGTAGATCTTATTAAAAATGGTTTATTAAAACCTTATTTTGAAATGTTTAAAATAATATTGGTTAAGGCAAGCATTTTATAGAGTGCTTACAATATGCTAGTTTTGTTTTCTGAGTACTCTGTTTCAATGAACTCAGTTAATCCTCTCTCTCATTTTGTGAGATAGCCTCTATCATTATTTTCATTTTATAGACAAGGGAGTTGAAGGATAAAGACAGCAAATGACTTGAGTAAATTTTAAGTTAGGAAGTAGCTAGGCTGAGATTTGATTCCAGGTGAACGGGCTTCAGAACTCAGACTCTCTCAGCCTAAACTCTATTCCTTTTCTCAAATATTTAACCCTCTTAAAATGTTTTCGGTAATTAAAAATACATTATTCAGCTTCTTTTGCACTTTTTACAGTTTGACTATGTTTATAAACAACTCTGATGAGTTATTTACCAAGGGTCCAGGTTTAGAGTAGGGGGCTCAGTACCTTCCACTGCAAAGTGTCTCCTCCCACTTTTGATGTGGGCCGGGGCAGTAACTAGAATGACTTAGAACTTAGAATACTGAGAACAACTTAGGTTCCTGGACTCTACTGGAAACCTGCCTTTAATTTAGGGGCTGAACAATTCCTTGTGGAAGCTTTATGAACAAATCCTTAGTGATTTAAAAAAAAATTTACTTAAATGTATGCTATGGATATTTGCTAGCTGACAATCACAGTGTGTATTCTAAATTAAGGCACATGCTGGACTGTTTAAAATAATTGAGATGAATAAAAAAGTAGAGTGATTTACATTCTTGAATAGGTAGACAGGTTATTTCAAACTATGAACTTCTTACACAAAATAAATCACATAGATGCTGGAACGATAGACCAGTGTGCTCATTGCAACTTTGTGGCGCATTCCTTTCTTTTACTATTAAGATTATTGATGATAGTTTTTGAAGCATATACATTTAGAATGGATACCTGGGAAAAATCCAGGTTATGAAGTTTTTAGAGGCATCATTTGAGAATATGTATGTTTTCTCCATGGCAATTACATATGTTACATATGTTGACTGCAATCCTCACAAAAGCCATCAAGGAAAGGATAATTATTCCTCTGTTACAGACATGAGATTGTCATGAGTAAGACCACACAACATACTAAGCACATAACTAGAATTCAAACCTAGGCTTAGTTGCAAAGTCCATTCCTTTTCCTTACCATGAAGCCTCTCTGAGCTACTTTTAATATGTGTGCTATTTCTCATTTAGTTTGTCATTATCTGAGTCCAAACATAACCTTAAATATTAGAAGATCCTAAAACATTTAGGCAATATCTTGCAAAAGAAATGAGAAGAGATAACATTTTAATGTAAAGAACTACAAAGTTAAAACATGTTGAGGTAAAATAATGGTGTATGGCTTGAGATGAAGGAACATCATTGGAGGAGATAAAGAATAAAAAGGGAAGAGTCATAGTAGTAAAGAAAATCCTCTCTCTTGGGTAGAGTACCAAGCTGAGCAGCAGATGTACACTAGGGGGTTGGCATTTCTGAACTTGACAGGATAAACATGATCTTGAAAATATCTACGTACAAAATACATCTGTGCAGTTATGTTTAGGAGTAAATATGTATTAGGAAATAAAATCTATGCCAAACCCATTAAAAAATGTATATACTGTTGTAGAATAAATGCACAACTATGCCTTATTTGCTATGCCTGGATAGCCTGTTTTCCACTGGGAGCAGTTTAAAGAATCATGGAATATTAGAGCTGAAGAAGATTTTAGAGATCAGTTAGACCAGTTTCTTCATATTCAGATGAGGAAACTGAGGCCTAAAGCAGTTCAGTAACATTCTCAATATCATAGGTCTCTTTGCTTTCCTGTCAAATTTGGTATTGTATGCATGCACATAGAGTTATATATGTGTACATAAACTATAACAAGTAGCAGTTATAAACATGTTTTAGGGGAGGAAAGGAGCCAAAACATGACTTTAAAAATGCTATGTTTTTTATTTTTAAAAAGGCAATAGAATTTGAGAATCATAGATGGTTTAATATTCAATTCTTAAAAGAAATAAATCTAAACTTAGACAACATTTTACTAAATGTTGCCTTTAAGAAAAATCACATATTAAGTTGGTGCAGTTACGACTAAAGTTCTCTGTGATTACTGCAAAAAACAATTTTCTGGAAAAAATTCATTACTACAACTTTGATGATAAGGAATAATTTATTTCACTGAATTCTTTGTTACGACAAATTGTTTGTGCTTTTCAGTTATTAATGCTCCTGTTTCTTTTTTTCTGTAGACATCATTATTCATTTCTTTAATGTGTATGGTAACTTAAAAATAATCCTATCTGCAGAAAAGCCAAAATAAATGCTTGCTCAAGGGTACTGTTAATTTACATAGAGTAGATTTTATTTGGTCAACATGTTTTTTACTTGGTTAACTATGATTATCTGAGGAGAAACCCCCTTAGCAAGAAACATGAGATGCAAATGTTAGTGTGATTAAAAAAAAAAAAAAGACCTTTCAAATGATTTCCTCCAATTGCATACAAGCGATCATTCATTACAGCCAAAGTGTGGATTGCGCGTTTTGTGTTCATATCTTGTTTTCGAGCCCAGACATCCATTACGGGGTCATAGCAATATAGCCATGGGACATATTCTCCATTATGGACACCCCCTGTGGATTAAACATATACATACAAGTCAACAAAGTGCGTTGGAATTGAACTTTGGAGCAGAAAATGGAGGATGACTTGCCTGAAATGTATATTTTCCCATTGTGCACTGCTCCTGCGTGAGCCGCCAGAGGCTGTGGCAGAGACGACACATAGCGCCATTCATTTGTTTCCAGGTTATAGCACTCCACGCTAGACAAGTAGCCGGTTTCATTCCTTCCACCAATAACGTATAAATGTTTGTCCAACCGACATGCATAGAAGCTGGCTCTCCTACAATGAAAACAAAACCCACAGTTAATCACAAAAGGAACTGACAAATGCTACTTTTTGAAATAGGATAAGGACTACCCAGTTAGTCAGGGAAAGGAGGAACATCCTGCTTCAGAAAAGGTTGCAGACCTTTAAAAACTACACATGTACCTGCTACACCTGAGACCTCCTACTGTAATCATATGCATTGCCTATTCTGGTTAACATTTTTGATATTAAAGTCATAGTAGAAGAGACATTCAGCTCTTTTTTAAAAATCTTGCTTTAATCCACTGTTCAAGTGTTCATTAATGTTTGGGATATTTGGTACCTTGTAAGGATATCATAGCTCTGTAAGACAAAGTGAAAAATGAGGTAGATAATGTAACAATAATAAATTATCTTGACATTCACTTTCTTTATGGTCCTTCAAGGGTCATTGTTCTCAATTTGTAAGAGAACTACATCATCAAAATTTTTCTTCAACTATCATTTTTTCTTTTTTCCCCCCTAATACTACTGCAAATAGAATAACTTTGGTGAACTTCATATAATGCTTACATTTTGCTCTCTACTAATCAGTTGCAAGTATTTCATCTAAGTAACTTTTTGTGTTGACTCTTACAAGGCTATTGAATATTTTTTAGTCCCTTTTCAAAAGAGGCTATTGACTATATTATCCCACTATGCCATCAAAGGTAAAAGATACAAGCTGTGTCAAAAGGACTGGGGAAAGGGAGACCAAGTCTAAGGTAGACCATAATTTAGGAGATATTGAGGGCTTCAATTTGAGTTTTAGTGGAAGGAATGAAAAGGGGTGATACAAAAGATATTTTAAAAGAAGAAGATAAGGTATAGGCAAGTAATCCTTGACTTTCTGCTTCGTTTTTTCATTGATGTTACTGGAATGATAAGCTTCACAAAGATAACATGTGATCCAATACTGAATAAGTATAATTGCTAAGTTTAGCCAAGCCCCTCACAGAACATAATTTTTATCTGATGAATTAATGATCTCTGTTAAAATTGGTGCCAAGATTTTTGTGGAATGTCAGCTGCAAGATGAGGAGTGTCTTTTAAAATATATATATATTTTTATTTTAAAGATGTGGGGTACAATTCAGGATTAAGTATACAAGTGGACATTGTACAGGTTTGGGCCTCCCTTTGGTCCGCACTTCACCTGGTTTGAGATCAGGTACCTTTATTGATCTCACCCCTACCCCGGCAGTTTCCAACTATTGCCAATCTTTTTTTTTTTTTAATTGGGTAAACCTACACGATTTAGAGATTTTCCAGGTTGTGTTTATGAAGTGCTGAAATATCTGGGAAGCAGTATAGCGTATTGATTAACGATTTAGTTTCTAGGGTCAGACTGCCTGACTATGTGACTTACTAGGTGTGCGTTCTGTTACTCAACCCCTCTCAGCCTCAGATTTCTCATCTGGAACATGGGGATGGTAATGGTACCTTCCTCACAGAGTTATCTGCGAATACATATAGGTGCTTGTTACAGTGTCCAAAATTTTGTCCATGTTTAGGAACTGTTAATATTATCTGGATAAAAAGTTAAGAAAAATTGGCCATCAAGATGTTTGCATGTAAACTCTTTCTAATAATAATTAATGATTAAATTTTTAGGTGTTTGCTTAAATGACTTACCACCATACAGAAACAGTATTTACTATAGAGGATAATGTCTTCAGGCTTTTTGACAGTCCTAAAATTATTCTTATAGCCGTTATTGATAATTTTAGAGTAACAGTTTAGCTTTTTAAAAAAAATTTTCTTGATGTTTTTGAAAGAAATATATGCCATATAGAAAGTTCAGAAAGATGATGAAGAACAAATGAAATAAGCAGGAGGAAGAAAAACAGGAAAAAAATAAAGAGAAGACAAGTTAGATTTCATAAGGTAACAACTGTTAACCTGGATCCATGTCTTTTGAGAGGTCCATGAAACACTGAAATTATAATGAAAAAAATATATATATATGTTTTTGTACATGTGTATTTTTTGGAGTAAGCTTTTAATTCGATCATCAAAGGGATCTCTGATCTAAAAACAATGAGATTTTCTGGTATGGTAAAATCTCATCTAAATATAAAATATGATTTTAGAACAGTTGTAAAATTAAGTACGTACAGATAGACCACTGCTTCCTTCCATTTGTTAAAACCAAATTTCAATTGCTCTCTCATTGAATATGGTAAGTCAGTTATTTTCTAGTGCTTTCGCCTTCTCAAGTTAAAATATTTCATTGAAAAGACTGACACAGGTCTACAAAAATCTGTCCTAAAGTAACACATATGTGTTTGCACCACGGACACAAGTGCAGCTCAGTATGCTTCTTCCATATGATTCTATGACAGGTCTTGGAGCCTTTTAAATAAAAAAAAAAAAAATTACTTATTTCATTAGCTGGCCATCTTTAAAGAATTTGAACTATGTGAGTTGTAAGGTGGTACTGATGAGGTCTATGCAGTACTAGTATAGAAGAAAAAAATGCCAATTAGTCATGACAGGTATGAAAACCTTCCACTTAATTGAGCTTAGATTGTTAAGAGTCAGAGGGAGATCTCCTTTTGATGAACTCCTTTATTCTTATCTAAATTTCAGTTTTCTCATTTTTCTGATTGGGTTCCTTCTTCACTGCAACATCAAGTTAGCCTGTCAGAACTCGATCTCCTTTTTAGCCAAGGCGTTCTTAATGTGACACTCTGTGTGTACTCCTAGCTTTATCCACACAGTGTCACTGTTAGGATCTAAATGGGAAAAACTCAGCAGGTTTCACTTCCTGACTAAAAGTGCATTTTTAATGTAGAAACTCCAGTAGTGAAGATTCCAAGTCTTTGACTTATTTCCTTGCATGTCCAAAGTGAGAGTTCCTGAAAGTCATTCTAGAAACCTGATTGACAGTGGTCTGTCAGCAACTGTGAACACCTGCCCGAGGCTATAATTTTACCATAGCAGGTCTCTCTTGGGACTGTTCCCTGTCCCTCCTCCCCCCATGAAGAGCATACCTGGTTTAGACTACTCTATTTCATGGGGAAAACAAGTTCAAGATGATTAAATATTCTTTAATGGAATCACACTGTTTCTATTTCAAATTTGTCATCTCTCCCTTCTCCAGCCTTCTCTGCTCCCACGGCTAGAGACAATTTTCAATGTTTCTAGCATAAGTTTAAAAAGACTAATAATAACTCATACAAATATACTTTGAATCCTGCTTATTTTATAGATCTTTACAAGTTCTTTCTGATCCTTAGGGTGGTCAAGTTTATATCCTAAAACATGAGACTACATTACTATGCCTTTATCCCACCCAGCTTGAATGTTTAATTTTCGTCATTGGGCAAAAAAACAACAGATTTTTCAAAATAGAATACTGTCTCTCATTGTTTGTAATACTTGTAATACTGCTACAAACAAAATATTTAAATTTGAAAACATTTTTGACTTATTAACGTCTAGCCTTTTATCTGCTTTGTGAAACAGGAGCTTTGTTGTTAATACTCCTCAAACTGCTTTTTCTTTATCTATTTTTTAGGTAGCTGAGGGTAAAAGCTCTATACAAATAACATTTAAAATGTCTATTTTTGCTGGAAAAAAATGTTAAGCTCCCAAAGCATTTCTATTGATTGAAGTTTTCAATTTTTCCTCTCCTGACTGATGAATAAAATTCTGAATCTGAGACCAAAACAATTCAGCAGCACTACGTTTAAATTTCTGTTTTTGTCTAATCATTTTTGTCAGTAAATTCATAGCTAGTAGGCATGCAATTCATGAACTGACCCATGGTTGAGTAAGACTGGAGGCCCAGTGTCCATTTCCCTGCTGAACTGGAGGGTATATTTTGTACTTTCACTATATTTCTTTGGAAACTCACTAGGTAAGATATCCTAGGAATGTGTCAGGCCAGTTCTGTAAGAGTGGATTACCCCAGATGAGTTTTCCACATGTTTCCATTATTCTCAATTGGTTTAGTGAGCATAACAATTTTCTAGCAGCTTGGTAGCAGCATGATGGAAAGGGGTAGGAGGGGAACTTCTGGTTTGATTCGTGATCTATACAATGTCAAATTTACTCAATTAAATGGTATAAGAAACTTTTCTGACCTGAAGAGTGTCTCATATATTTTAGGTTCTTTTTCTTCTTTTTTTGAAACATCAATTATTTCATGCTGGTAACTGATCATAGTTGTTATTTTGAATGGAAGCTTGGCAACAACAAAAAAATGTCACTGTAAGTTCTGGATTGTTGCCTGGGTCAACCAACCCATAGGAGAGATGGAGCTACAAGATTGACGGGGCATTTGTGAGATCTGCCTTTTCCCACTCAACTCTGTAAGGAGCTCTTTATTTGGTCTATCGAGTTGATTGTTCTAAATCTAAAAACAAAAAAACTTCTTTTACTAGGGACCTGACATGATATACCATAATGACTTAGAAAGAAACGTTAAACAGTCCATCCTGTCAACGGTGGCTGCCGGGCGCCCACAGACCATGGCAGGTCTTTTTATCAGGTCAATGAGCTGCTAAAAATTGTCTAAGTAGGACCCTGCCATGATAGGCCATAGTGCCTCAGAGGAAGTCATTATAGACTATCAAGTAAACAATACACATTTTAAAAAAATTACTAATTAGGTTTTGCAGCAATACTTCCCATCCTTAGGGGCTCTACAGTGAGATAATTGACCGCGACGTGAGTTATGCCTCCCAAGCCGAAGGCGTGAAGGTTAATTATCGTGGTGTACAGCCCCCAGCAAAGGGGACCGTGATGATGAGATGATGACATTTCAAACTTGTATTGATAGTTGTTTTTTAAATAAAACTTTTTTCAATGGTTTTGATTAAAGGGCACAATGATGATGCCGCTATAATAATAGCAACCTGGAAATAACTCCCCAGAGAGAGAAACAGAGGGCACTGGAGAAAGACACCAGGAAGCTTCTGATTCATTGAGAAGTTTGTTAAGCTATTAATTGACTTAGAATTATTTCTTGAAGTACCTTTGAACTAGCCATTCCTAAAAGTGTCTGTGGTCCTTAATGTATCATGCCTCATCATTTTCACTGTATAGCTTCTAGTCTATTAAAAGAGAGTTTTAACATATTTACTTGTATACGGAATAAAAAGTTGGATATTGAGTTTCATGAGAGCATAGAGTCATACTGTCTTGTTGCAGTAATGAACATTTTTGAAATGTACATTACTTATATACAATGAATAGTATATGAATTTTTTTTCAACTTGGAATTTATGATTAAGGATCTAACTAAATCTCAGTGGAATCTACTTAAATATTAAAAAAAGAGAGATGTTAAGGTGAGGGTCGTGTAGGAAATAGGTAAGAGAAAGAATGCTGTTGATTTCTTCTTAAGTGCTGAGGAAGAGGTAATGAGTTGCAGCTTATTGTCATGATCATATTGGAGAATTTGGTCAAGAGGATGTTATTTGAAAAAGAACTAAGTGCTTAAAATCTAGGATGTGAATTGAAATATGCATATAAAGACATAGCATTATGCCTGAGTAACAGCCAGGTGAGACAAAATATGTATAAATATAGTAGCCATCTTGTCTTTTGGTAGCTAGGAGACTTGGCTGAGATTACCATTCTGTATGCGAGAAAATGAGATGATACTTTTCAAGACTATTTTTTTAAAAGCTACCAAATGATCTGTTCTTGAAAGAATTATGGGAAGACATTTGAGCAGACAAATGTAAATGATTTGAATTAGCAAGCCAAAATTTACTATTCAAATATTAAATTTAAACAAATATTTAAATATCAAATATTGAAACACTGAAATTTTGTATTGAATAATTTAATATGTAATATTGAAATTTCTACATCAAAATGCATATCATTGCAAGGATTGTGTTTCATATTTCAATTTTAGGATTTAAATATATTATCTCCGAGAAGAGTGGTATGTAGCCAGTGGAATTTTAGCTCTGTATGCAAAATACCAATCAAAGAAGTCAAGTCACACAATGTTTTTCTTCCTACATTAGGACAAATAATTGACTTATTTGATTATTTTTCTCTATTGAATTAACAAGGCAGGTGAAATCTAAACTGGCCAGGCCAAGTTGGGTATTTTGCCTCATGTGTCTTTATTGACTGTGTTTAGCATTCCTCAACATGGAAAACCATGCTTCCTATAAAGTAGTCACAAATGTTTCAGGCATAAGAAATAAACACTTACCTTTCTTGCATGGGTGGAAGTTGAATCCAGCTATTAAATCGGGGATCATATCGGCTGACAAAATTTGTACTGTGTTTTCCTGTAAAAATACATTTGAGATGTTTAAAATGTGGATTCCATTGTTGATTTGCACGTTTCATTTTATAAGCTGTCTCTAGTCTCAGGTTTCACGCATAGATGAATCGAGTAGAGGGGATGTCTTAACACAGCCTGAGAAGTGGTCGGTCAATAGAAGAATGAATGTGCCACTTCAGATGCTTGTCTTTTTTTCCTTCTCTTTCCTTTTTCTGTTTTCGGAATGAGTTGAGGTAAAACAAAATCAACTATAATAATAAAAGCAAGTATGTTTACCAAGCTGGCTTATCACAGTGTTAGGGTAAAGAAATTCTAGAATGTTTTTGGTGTTTTAATCTTTGAAACACAATAAGTTATTGTCCATAAGTTACCAGTTCCAGAGACTACCCTGCATAATGGTATCTCTGGTTACAGCGATTAAAACATTTTTTTTCTTACATTTTCTTTCTCTTTTGAAAAAAATTTAAAGATAATTTTTAAAAGAGAAGTTTTAGGTTCACAGCAAAATTGAGAGGAAGGTACAGAGATTTCCCTTTGTGCTCCCTGTCCCTGAACATGTACTGCCTTCCGGATTATTACAGCCTCTTTCTAATGACTTAAGAACTCTAGCAGTGGTAGAATCTTCTCTTTTCCCATTGAAATAATAACAATCACTACCATAAGAGTCTGATTTGGAAGTCAGTTTCATCCTATGCATGTCATGTGAGTTCTGTGTGCGTATTTGGGGAAGCATAGTTGCTGTGATGTATACACAGGTACATTTGCAGAAATTGAAAGTCCGAGTCCTCTGAGCTGCTTAACCAGCTTATCCCCTCTGTTGAGCCTAAGGCTCACAGTTAATGCCTCCAAGGTATTAAAATGAATTTTATTTTATATATACACATTAGAACAAGAAATGGAAGTGAAAGAATGTATCACATTTTCTGTGTAGCACCTGAGATGATAACCATAAGGCTTTTGAGGCCTTAGCTCTTAAAGTCTGCCTATGTGCATATATATGTAACTAAACATTGAGATGTTGGGACCAAACTTCACCACAGGAGTAAACAGGGGTGTTTGAGAGTATGTGAACGTGTACTCATATAGGCATTTACACACAACAGAATTATTAACTGCACAAATATATATATTGAATACCTACTATGTGTCTTACATATTATCTAGACTCTGGAAATATACTGGTATATAAGAAAGACATGGTCCTTGTTTTTGTAAATGAATGGATAGATGTATAATGCAATATCAAGTAGAGATGAGTGCTATAAAGAATAAAAAAGCCAGGAGTGACAGAAGGGAGGCCAGTTGAAGTAGGGTGGCCACCTGCTTCCAGATGTCTCTCTGCATGAGTCTCTCAGGCGGGGTGGGGGGTGGGGCAGCAACTATAGAATCCCTGGACTGGTGATGAGTTAAAAAACAGCAACGATTTGGGAGTCAGGGGAGTATGAAGGCCCAGAACACAGTGTGCCTTGTGAAACGCTGTAGGATTTTTTATTTTGATATAAGAACAATAGGAAGCCACTGGAGGGTTTTGAGCAAGTGAGGACATGGCCTAATTTCCCACTCTGGCTGCTATGTGAAGAGTAGACCATGACACGGGGGAGCCCAGTGTGGAAGCAGGGGATCTGTTAGGAGGCCACTGCAATAGCCAAGGCAAGAGCTGATGGTGGCTTGAATGAAAGTGGAGGTGGTGAGATATGGTCAGGTTTGAAGTCTACTGTGCAGGCACAGCTAAATACAATTTCCTGAGGGACTGAATACTGGTATGGGAAAAAGTGAGTCACTAAGGATGGCTGCCAGGGTTTTAGTCTGAGTAACTGGGTGGAAGATCATGTAATTTGCCAAGGTTGGGAAGACCAAGGAGCAGTAGGTTGGGAGTTGGGGAGAGAAGCTATGAGCTCTGTTTTGGACTTAACCTTGAGAGAACTGTAGGATCTCAACTAGAAAGTATCTAGTAGGCCACAGGCTAAAAGAGGCCACAAGTGCAAATTTTGGAGTCATTAGTCCAGAGTTATTATTTAAAACCATGGGACTGGATGAAACCATGTAGGGAGAAGGTATAGGAAGGATGAGCCCTGGAATAGGAGAAGAAAAATCAGCAAATGAAAGGAATGGTCAGAGAAAGGAGAAAAAATATGGTATTTTGAAAGCCAATTTAAATAGTGTTTCAAAAAGAAGGGGGTGAGTAACCCAGAACTGACCGTAGGGTTTGGCAACATGGAGTTTATTGGTGGCATTGAGAAGTGTTGCTTCAATAAACCAGTGGGGATGAGAGCCTGAGTGAGGACCACTCAGGAGAGACTAAGATGCAAGAAAGTGAAGGTAAGAGGATAGGCAATGCTTCTCAGAACTTTTGCAATCAGAAGGATGTGGCATCAAGGGAAGATTTGTTTGGTTGTTTTTGAAGTTCAGAAATACTGGAAAGTCCTTGAGCAAGCAAGAGGGAATGAGAAATAGACCTTAAATTGGAGCAGAAACAATCATGGAGGAAGAGAGAATCCACAGGTTGTGATGGAAGTAAGTGAACAGATTTGGTAACAGCAAAGTGAAGAGCTTATGTTCTGATTGCTTCTATTTCATTGAACTAAGAAGCAAGGCCATCAATTGAGAGTGAGGATGGGAATTTTTGAGAAGAAGGCATTTGAAGGGGGAGAGAGAGTGAGAGAGAGAAGGAGAAAGTGTAAAATAGTTATCTTGGAGGAGGATGTTGACCATGGAAATGTAGTGGAATAGACTAGTAGCCAGCATAGCTGTGTGGCTTTCTCTGTCCATGTTTAGCTGCTCAAGGGCAGAAGAGAGGTGAAAGGGAAATGGGTTTAACCAGGACCATTACTGCTAGGCAAAGTATAATGGAAGGAGAGAGACAGAGGCCTGCAGGTGTATGCAGTAGAGTAATTATAGGATATGCCATAGAATCTAAACTCAGTAAAGAGGGAAGTAAGGATGATGGACAGTGAAAAGGTGATATTACCAGCAAAACAGTGGATGGCTGCCATAGCAGCAGGGGTATCATCTGAAGATATCCTTTTTGTTTGTTTGTTTGTTTTACTGTCCTAGAATTATTAAATTCTATTGCTGAACTAATCTAAGAAATGAACAAGTCTCAATTCCTCATTACAAAAGTGAGAAAACTACCAAAATTAATTGAGTTATGTAGTGACAAAGATTTATGGGACGTGTATTCACTTCTGATGTGCTTTTCATTGTTCCAGTGGTTTCTAACTTTATGTTTGAAGGTTCCTTTGTTAGTTTCCTAGGGAACCAGTAACAAAGTGCCACAAGCTGGGTGGCTTAAATAACATAAATTTATTGTCTCAGTTCTGGTGACCAAAAGCCCAAAACCAAGGTGTTGACAGGATGATGCTGGTCTCTCTTAAGGCACTAGGGAAGCACGTCTCTACTAGCTTCTTGTAGTCTTATTGTTCTGAAGATATCCTTTAAAACAGTGGTCCCCAGCCTTTTTTGATATCCTTTAAAGCAGTTGTCCCCATCCTTTTTGGCATCAGGAACAGGGACTGGTTTCATGGAAGACAATTTTTCCACGGACAGGGAGATGGGGAGGAGATCATCAGGCATTAGGTTGTCATAAGGTGCATGCAACCTAGATCCTTCGCATGCACAGTTCACAATAGGGTTCGAGCCTATGATCCTATGATCTGACAGCTGGCAGAGCTCTGCTTGCTGGTTACTCACACCTGCTGTGAGGCCTGGTTTCTAACAGGCCGCGGACTGTTACCAGTCCATGGCCTGGGGGTTAGGGACCCCGGCTTTAAAAGGCCTGGGGCTTTAAGGGTTTGGGAGTGACAATGAAGAGGAAAGAGAAAAGCTACTTGCCACCAATAATAAAAAGTGTGTGGGGGAAGGGGCGACACTGGTCCCCATTAGAAAGAGTGGCTGGGAAAGCAGAATTCTCAGAAGGTAGCCAGGTTTTGAGTAGAGAAGAAGGCAAAAAAAACATTCAGAGGAGAGTTTTAGGATCATAGGGATTTGTTGATGTGAGATCATGAGTTCCAGGGATCACATGGGAGAGTCTGGACTGTCAGATTAAGTGGTAAATTGAGTTTTATCTGGGAATATACAGGAAGAGATGAGTATTGGGGGTGAGGATGGCCCTGAAGACTTGGATTTCACACAGGGAGACTCCTACTCAAGAAAACATTATGTCTAGAGTTGGTTTATAAGCAAGGTTTTATGAAATTTGCAACCATTTCCCTGTAGAAAAAAAAAATCTTGTCTTTGACAGTCAAGTTCCAAGGTTAATTCCTAAATGCTGCTGGAGACTAATGATGTTCACAGGAAAGTAGAACCTACTTATCATGTAAAGAAAAGTTTCTCTGTGAAGTTTGGTTTAGAATTACTATTTGGAAGAAGAGATCTGCCTCCTGACAATGGAGCAGAGAGTGCCTTCACATGCAGAGCAGTGGTGATGGAAACTAGCAATGTTCACATCTGGTTGTAATGGCAGTGGCCTTAGCTCAGAGATGAGGTTAAGCAGGGATTCTTGTGACATGATATGAGACGAAGAAAGGGTTTCCAGAGGCAGAGCTCACGATGTGAAAGAGGAGCAAGGATGAAGGACTGGGAAGAGAAAATGAAGGAAGGCGTTCTGGAGGCAAAGAGGGGATTATGAGCCTGAGAAGGAATGAGTGGGTAGAGTGAGCGAGGTGAGATGAAATGGGGTTATGCTCTCCCCCTTGTGGCTGCTATGGAAATTCTACCAGCAGTTCGAGAGTGGTAGCCATATACAATGAGATTTTGAATTATCCTTCACCCATTCTATTTCTTCTCGTCCTTTTCATTTTCTTTCTGTTCTTCCTCCACTTTTCGTTTTATGCCGATGCTCTATCACCAGACTAGCACTTGGCTGATGTGATAAATGGGGCATGGGGTGGCAGTTTCCAGTCAACAGTAGAGAGGAAGAAAGTGGGGAGAAAAGGTAGTTCACTGTGGCAGTTGTTTTGGGAGTCAGTCATCAGTAAGTAACAAATGTAAATTGAGTCTCTGTAAGTTGGGGCAATGACAAAATGAATATATGCACATCTATTGGAATATTACAGTGTATTCCTATCACTAATGATATGATGAGAGTTAATAGGTGTTAATATTTGTGTCTGAATAGGAAAACGTATGCGTATAATCTGATTATATTTCCTTTAACTAACATATTTTCTGACTTCAAATTTTGGTCTTATAATCAAGATCATCAATAGGTAAAAATTATATTTGTGTTTGATGAGTACTAGTGTCTTACAAGCATTACTGAATTTACAATTTTGTATTTCATTCAAAAGCACAAACCTCAGTCACCATTTTCATAAGACTAAAATTTAATTTAAGAAGATTTCATCTTTGGAACCGACAAATACATCATATTTGAATCATGAATTGAAAAGTTTTATCCCTGCCAGCAAAGGTATTAAAGCATATTATGCATTGTCATAGAATTGCTATTCTCTATATGTTTTGATAGTAATTGTATGAGGCATTATAATATGATAATCTTCACAGTTTTCACAGTTTTCTAAATGGGAATGATGAAGAATTCTTTGTGAGTGAGTGGGAGACACTTTCTATCATGATCCAATAGTGCTTTAATTTCACAAAATCAATGGCAAAAGCATGACTGCTGTTACAAATCTAACCAAACACATATGTTTACATGAAAAGCAGTGTCATATAATGGTTAAAGACTAAGACTCTGGAGTCAGACAGACCTAGGCTAGAAGCAACCCAGCTTTTTGTCCCAGCAAGTTATTTAACCTCAAGTTTTGTCTCCTCATAGTAAAACTGGAGCTAGCATGGAAGAAGCTCACAGGATGGTTGTGAGGATTCAAATAATGTAGACGAGTGCTTAGTAAAGTTCCTAGCAAATAACGAGCACTCAATACTCCTACTAATACTCAAGAAGTTGGTTGACCAGATGGATGGGACATGAAGCTACATGGAAAACGTTTAAGGAATTGTGGTGGATGTTCTTGATACCCAGCCCAGATCCCCTTACCAGACTGGTACACCCCTTCCCTGAGCAGGCCACCTCAGTGCCTGCCCTCATTCCCTACCTAGGGGAAGGCTTTAGCCATTGATTGTCTGATTGACATGAGGTACAAAAGACAGTGGACCCACCCAGATCTATACTAAATGACTTCACATGCCAAAGTAGTCAGGGAACAAAACGACTCAGCTATCCATGTGGAAGCTAAAAATGGATCTTACAGAGAGAAAGAGAGAGAACTCTCAGGCCCATATTGAGACTATTAAAATATATAATTACAATTAAAATATAGTGATTAAAGTTTTACTAACATTTAATTTTGAGCTTCCTGGTGGCTAAAGCAAAGAGACACATGTGATCACATGGTTAGCATTAATAATAATATTCAAAAGCACATAATGCCTCAGTACTTTGGTATGACAAAATTTGTCATTTGCGTTTTCCTGTAGAACCCAGTGAGTGGTAATAGTGAAAGCTATCCTCACAGTAAATGCAACTGTGTGCTTGTTATAGTTTTCTCACAGAATATTCATGGAGGGCTTTAAATCCAGTTGTGTTCCTCTTAGGGGTGGGGGAAAGAAAAATCATTGTAGTCCAACAGCACAGTTTTATGGGAGTCTGAATTTGTTCAAAGATAAAGTCTTGATTCTCTAGAATAGAGGAGGAAGTCTATCTTTTAAACTCACCTTATTTCTCCAAGTTGGATGGTTACAGGTTATATATATATTTTTCAGCACAAACCTAGGGAGCAAGTTTTTCTGTGTTGCTGGTTCAGGCCTGCCTCATAGGGATGAGAGGATCACATGACCTGTGAAAACCGAGTTGTCCTACCAACACTGGTATTTTAACAGAGGCCTGTTCCACCTAGAAAACCCTGCCTTCTCTTGTAATGTTTTAGTTTTAATCTGGTCTTCAAAAAGAATGTTCTGCAGATTCTTTGCTTAGATAAACCCAGTGGCTGTGCACTGTATGTTGCTTACGCATATTTTTTACCATTCAAATCACTTGTGAGGAAGGATAAATTAAACAGTAAATGAAGAGTTTATAGTGGATTGTGTGTACGACAGGATTTGCTGGTAACGTTTCAAATCTGTTATTACCAAGGCAAGTTAGAGGAGAGACATTAAATATCACTCTTGTTCCTGTTGTAAATCTGTTTCTCACAAAGCCGAGGAACTGTCTTTCTTCTAACCCTGGAAAATGTGACACAACAAAGCTGTAGGAATTGAGAAAGACTGTCCCCCTCTCTCAAAAGAAATGTTCTTGAGGGTGGCCTGGATTGTTTTCCTTTAAGATTTTCCAGAGTGAACAGATGTAACAATTTTCTGTAATATGCCTTGGTGCAGATGCCGAAAGAGAGCATTCACAATCAAATATATGCAGTATATGTAATTTCAGCTGGATGTTCTGGGGTTTTAAAGTAAAAATGTGTACCTGCAAGCTGTTTTATGGTTTCTCAGTCATAATTATCTCTGTTACACAGAAGGCTACAACTACAACTCCTCCTTCATGTGCAAGATTTCTAAAAATATCTTGATAATTTTGCATATTCTGCAAGGCGCAGTGTTCTCCTTGTGTTTGGCTATGGAAGTGTGTTAAAATGTTTAATTTCTCTTTGCGATAAATTTATGATGTAATCACATCAATGGGGAGGGTGGTGGATAATTTGTGAAAGAAGCACTTGCAAAAGGTACAGCAACTAGAATGGATCACAAGTAAAACCTGCTGTGAAACAACTTCAGCTGAAGTTCTGTACGGCATGACCAGACATTATGCCTGTTTATTGCCATCGCATTATGATGTTGATAACATGGAAGAAAAGTGGGGGAGAGGATGGTGAGGATCCTTAACAGCTGCAGCTTGCTTCCCTCCTCTAGGGAGTTCGTGCTCATGCTTGTGGCATTCCTCAGGGGATGGGGCATCCCTGTGAAGCCAAATCCCCAGACAGTCGATGAATGAACGCTCTGCTTCACATGTCCCCAGTCAGCTCAATGATTGACCCTCCCTCCAATCGTCAGCCCAATTTCCTGACGACTTCCTTTGTTCCTATTGCACAGAAATGTATTTTCCATACTAATTACAAAACGGACCGCTGCTGATGCCCTTCGTTACACACAAACTTGTTGAGCTCCTCCAATTAAGTTGTTCAATAGTTACCATTCGGATTCCATTGGTCCTCTCCGCCCAACACGAACAAGAAGTTTTCCACCTCTACTACGCAATGGTGAGCACTGTTGTATGGCATAACTGGAATTAAGAAGAAGAGGAAGAGAAAAAGACGTATGAAATTTTCCATCTTAGGACTTGCCACCTTGGCTGACTAGTTATGCGTTTCACTCAAGTGGATACAGTGTGAGACTGAGTCCGAAGGAAAATGGATGCACAGGCAGCAGAGCGGCTCCCCACCCATCCAGGGATGCCTGCGCAGTGGCTCAGCGGTGTGTTCCCAGCAGCTTCAGACCCAACCCCTTTTGATTAATTTTACATAATGTTATTCCAAAAATTAGTCAAGAACAACCTGTCACGCTGCTTTCAATTCTTAAGTTCTGCTCACCTGCCTGATGATGGGGGTGGCTTTCTGAATGACTGACACTCCCAAAGGGTCAGGGCTGGGGGTTACTTCTTGGAAGAAGTAACCCTGAATACACTTGGAACCATTAAGATGCTCTGCTCAACTTGGTTTGCTGGCAGTCTTTCCATAAACAGACTCAGGGTGCTTGGTAGCTTTCTATTCCACAGCAATGAGCAAGCTGAATTTCCATACAGTTTTAAGTTTTTAAATTAAGGTCCTGCTGATTTAATGCCTCCTCCAAATGTATACGCTTAATTTCCTGTACAATGTCATTAGCAGCACAATCACACATTTTCTATCTATCTGCTTAGGAGCTCTTCCGTAACAGAGATGAAAACTGTCAGGAACATCACAAATATCCATTCTCCTTTCTCTCCCTCCCCCCTGCCCAAAGGTGGTGGCTGTGAGGAGGGGACATTATTTGGAGACCCACTAAAGCCAGGTTTCTCTGTACTCTCATTCGCATTTCCTTGGCGGAGACACAAAGTACCAGAATAGAATGCTCCTGTCACCTTTTGTGCTGTGCAGTGTTAGTTTCTGCTATTAGACTCTCATACGCTAAATGTAAACGTATACAGCGTTAGTTATCATACCACATGCAGTAGTTTGGGCCCAGTTGACACTAGTAGGAAAAATGATGTCCTTGTTCAGCTCATCATATGGGCACCTTAAATCTAGGAGAGGACAAATGGGGAGGTGATGTGCATGTTCAGGCAGGCAACTTATTGCTTGACACGGATCAACAGAGCACTTAAGAAACCAGTGCAGTGAGAAATCAATATGAGTCAGGGCCAACTCTTACTTTGTGCTCTTTTGCCAATGCAGAGTGAGTGGGGGCGGGAGGG